TTTTTTTTTAATAATAAATCCCTTAGTGCTTAGATAGTGCTAACACCAGATGAATAAACAAGGTATCAAGACATAAAAGCATAAACTCCACAGTAAAGAATGGTAGAAATTAGAAGTGATGGTTGGTGGGGAAAGCAAGGGGACAACAGCACCTACCATTCAGCTATGTTTAATTCCCACGGTAAAACAAACGAGGTTTTCATGCTAAAGGGCTCTGCTTCCACAAGGATCCTCACCTGAGTATAAGAACACAAGTCTACCAGAATAAGGCCTATGAGGACAGGGATCCTGTTTTGCTCACTCTGTGCCTCTCATGGTCCTGGGCACAAAACAAGTACTCGATAAGTAGTAGATGGTGGTTGAGTGGTTGGCGGATAAATGAATGGATGAAAAGGTAAACTGATGAAACGGTGAAGCTCAGCCTGCTAATTAAAATTCCGTTGAACCGGGGCGCCTGGGTGGCGCAGTCGGTTAAGCGTCCGACTTCAACCAGGTCACGATCTCGCGGTCCGTGAGTTCAAGCCCCGCGTCGGACTCTGGGCTGATGGCTCAGAGCCTGGAGCCTGTTTCCGATTCTGTGTCTCCTTCTCTCTCTCTGCCCCTCCCCCGTTCATGCTCTGTCTCTCTCTGTCCCAAAAATAAATAAACGTTGAAAAAAATAAAAAATAAAAAAAATAAAATAAAATTCCGTTGAACCTACATACACATCATTTCCTGTGAAGGGCTGCTCATGCAATACCTGCAACAGCACTGGATATTTGTCCTTCTTCTAAGTAACAAGCCAGATTCATCTGCTCTGTTAAGATCTTTTCCCACATGAACCCCACCCCCTACAACAAAACTAGGTATAATGGAAAATGTTTCTGTTGAGACTAGAAAGAGTTATTTCCATCTTGATTCTCACTGTTCTTGAGTGACTTCAGTCTTAGATGCTGCCTGAAGCAGGTTTCCAATGCCCTCGTGGGTTGTGCACTTGGGCCTCTGCCCTCCTCTTACTGTTTACCACCATACTGGACATAGGTCTCTCCCAAGGACCACACACTGACTGCTGGGTACCTGGAAGCAGCTTCATCGTCTATTCAACTCTTTATGTTTACAGACTCTTTGCTTCTTTGTATCACTGAATGGAACAGACCATGAATCACAGGTTATTAAATGAAATTACTGTGTAGGTGTACAATCATTGCAGGGAATAGGGAACAAAAAGATAATTCTAGACCAGCTTTGCTATGTGTGAAGATTGCCTTAAATGGTTTTTGAAAATGTCACAAAAAAGATATGCGATAATGTACCTGGGCACATAGATACAAAAAAATTGTGTCATATGCATCATTTCAAAAGAGAATAGTAAAATGATTACCTCTTATACATTGTTTGGCAGTAAACAATGCACCCACACACATCATTCTCACTGACTGTCAAAATGATTCTGAGAGATAAGCAGGGCATGTATTTGAATCTCCATTTTAAATAGAAAAAAATCGAGGCTTTAAGAGGTTCTCTGACTTAAACTCATACAGGCCAGTAGGAGTGTGTGTCTTTTGGTAGCAGAACCAGAACCAAGCTCCTAAATTCTAGCAATGCCTTAAGGCTTTAGGGACAACCTTTTTTTTTCTACAGCAAACACGATGTATAGTACCTGGTTTATTTCCTGAGTAGTTGCTATTTTGTCCTGAAATAGCAGAGGGCCGGTTGGAGGCGGTTTTCTTATCATGCACTTTGTAGCTGTCAGGTGCTATACGAATGAGACAAAAGAGAAAAGACATATTTAGTTTCTCAAAATTTATTCAGAAACATTCATCTAGTCAACGTTTGCTGCTAACCTTTGTGTTGGGTACTAGGCTAGATTCAGGAAATAAAAAGACGAAGCTGTTACAACTCTTGCCCGTTCAGTGGTAACGACACATCCCCAAATCAATGGCCACGGCTCCACCAATCCTATAGAAGTGGCAAGTTCAAGGGTCCATGAAATCATTTACCCTGGTCGTCCCAGTTTATACATAAAGCAACCACGTGGAGGCATGACTGCTATCCAAAGTCTCTGATCTTACTTCTTACAAAGTTCATGCATTAGGAACCCCCAAAATTCCAAGAACATATAGGTCACCAAAAAGGAACCAGGAGATATAATTTACCAGGATTTTGAAAAAGCCTCTGACAAAAGTTCCATAACAAAGATTATTAAACAGACTAAGGGAAATGTATTCTAGGAAAGGAATGAAGAGGAGAAATACCAGGTAATTGCTTACATCAAGTACAGGATCCTATACTTTAAATATATTGCTCTTTTTTCTTTACCCATATTACTTTATTTAATGTATTTTCAGAGGATATTTAAAGGATGTCTGCTACTGTTTCAGATACAAATCATGCCAAAAACCAAGCCGATGAGTTTCCCTGCCTCCTACTCTCTGCCTTAAAACCTGCACTGCCCCGTCTTCCCCACCAATTAAGGCAATTCCATCCTTCCACATGATCATACCCCAAACCCTGGACTCATCCTTGACTCCTCTCTTGCTATCACTCCCCACGTTCAATCTGTTTAGTAAGTTCTTTCGGCTCAACCTTACAAAACATCCTGCCACCTCTACTGCTAGCTTTATGGTCATTTCCTCCCTGTGTGGTTGCAATATCCTCTTACCCGGTCTCCCCGATCCTCCCACGGACCCCCGTTAGTCTATTCTCATCTCAGCAGCCAGAGTGATCCCATTAAAACACAAGTCACATCACTCTTCTGTTCAAAACTCTCCAACAGCTCCCACTCTGCTCAGGGTAAAACCCAAGGTCTCCACCACGGCCCAGAAGGTACTATATGGTCTGGCCTTTACCTTGTGCCACCTTCCCTCTTAATTACTCAGCTCTAGTGATACTCAGTTCATCGCAGACCTTTGAGTGGACTTGAAATGTTCTTGTCTCGGGGCGCCTGGGTGGCGCAGTCGGTTAAGCGTCCGACTTCAGCCAGGTCACGATCTCGCGGTCCGTGAGTTCGAGCCCCGCGTCGGGCTCTGGGCTGATGGCTCAGAGCCTGCAGCCTGTTTCTGATTCTGTGTCTCCCTCTTTCTCTGCCCCTCCCCCATTCATGCTCTGTCTCTCTCTGTCCCAAAAATAAATAAACGTTGAAAAAAAAAAATTAAAAAAAAATAAAAAAAAAAAAAAGAAATGTTCTTGTCTCAAATAAGCAGGTGGATTTCTGGGTCTCTGCTCACATATGACATTAGAGTTCTACTGAATTGTTTATACTTTTTCAAAGTTTATTTATTTATTTTTGAGGGCGGGAGGGGCACACAGAAAGAGAATCCCAAGTAGGCTCTGTGCTGTCAGTGCAGAGCCTGACGTGAGGCTCAATCCCACTAACTGTGAGGTCATGACCTGAGCCAAAATCAAGAGTTGGATGCTTAACTGACTGAGCCACCCAGGCACCCCCCATTCTTGAATTGTTTAAAGTACCACCCCTACCACTCATCACCTCGCACACCTAAGCCTGCTTTGTTTGCAGCCCTTGCCCCCTGACATATTACATGTTAGCGCCCTCTCCATGAGGCTGAGGAAATTGACACTATCTAGAAAACAAGAATTGTTTGCCCAAGAGTTTTTTAAACTGAAAGGGTGCTATAATAATTATGCTTCAAGAAGACTAAATTTAAAAACTATACTCAAGGTGTATTAAAAACAAATCATTAAGAAAATAAATTCCCTAAATTTACCTTTGACATCTACATGGGGAATGCACCAAATTTTTGTGGCTCTCTTTCAATTATATATAGTGTTAGCTGTGGAAAATCAAAGACTAAATAGTAAAATTATCTTATACAACTCTTTTAAAATCGCCCAGTTTTGATCTGTTTGCTTCAAATAACAGCTTAAAACACAAATATTGATCGACTGAAGTTTTATTTATTAAGCTTCCTTTGCTT